CCATAGACAAGCAATTTATCAGTTAGAGGACTTTCTTCGTCAGACAATGGAGAAATCAGTCCATTGCGAGCAATCTATTGAAAGGCAATAGTGCATTAAAGCGATCTCTTTTTATATAAAGATTTTTTTTATTCAAATACAGAAGAATTCTTAAAAGTCAATTTTCTTTATTATATTTCAAACTAAAATTAAAATTAAAGATAAAAAATTACATTATTAGGCAAACAATCTGTAAAATTTCTCATTTCAAATTTACATATTAGCAAGTACACAAATTTCATGATTACTTAATTGTCGATTGTAAATTCGAAATTCATCAATAGAACCTAAAAAAGATCCTGATGAAATAGATATAGAACCACTTAGACAATTAACCGGTGTTGATGATCCCGTTGGACTCCGATTACCTAATACAATATACAATGGAACTTGAGTATACAGATATTTTTCCTGAAATTTTTCGAATTCAGGCAAATGAATTCCGATTTGTAAGATTTTGATCTGACAACCCTGTTTCTATTGTTTCTTCTAAATCTGATATTTGATATTATTATATGTTGGAAATATTTGTTACATTGGAATTGTTCGTTGTTATAGCATTTCGATTTTATTTCATATGGCTGTATCAATAGTACATGTAACAAAAGATGTGTGTGTATATACATGTTAGAAGGAAACGAAAAAAAACATGAATATGTATATGTATACATTTATAAAAAACAATATATGTTCATAAATTATAATAGTAAATACACGGTTATGTAGAAACATATGTGGAAAAGTACAAAAATAAATGAATTTTTGTTTATATGAGATTTGGTGAAAAAAAAAACAATGGTGATGTCTATATTATATAGACATTTGTATATATGTACATGTCAACATGTGTATGATAATAAAAAATTTTAATATGGTTCATGTATAATTATGATGGTGCTAATGTAAGTGTTTTTGTTGATATTTATCTGCCGAAAACACGTTACTAATCGTGTTGTCTAATGAACGTGTTGGTGCATCGGGTTGTCGATGCACAAATCTACAATATTCTAGAATGATAAGAAAGAATAGTATAATATTATTGTGATGTTGTTTTTTACCGTGTATAGCTCGACGTTTGTGAATTGGTAAGTCTGTAATTTGTGTTGTAGCACGTTGAGATCGATCCGGATAAATAAGTTTCGTCACAGCACGACATGTTTTCGTGATGTCTGTTTTATGTTTTGAAAAATATAATTCATCTGGATTCACATTTAATACACGTGCTATATATTCTATTTTATCTTTTTTATTTTTTTTTTTCATTTTTTTATTTTTTTGTTGTTGTTTTGAATGCAAATCGTGCGATAATGTCGTGCCTAGTTCAAGTAAATAAGCTGCAATATCTCCAGTTGATCTATTGAAAAAATTTTGCATCAATGTAATGTAGAAATAAAAATCTTACTTTCGTATCCAATGTTTTTTGTAATATTTTATTTTCTTTTTTAATTGTTTGTTTCGACGTAAAATATGTTGAATTTTTATGTATATAGACATATTATAAGATTTTGTTTGTCGACGTGATGATGATTTTGATTTTGTCACACATATAGCACTTGATGATGGTGACGACTGTTCGTAATCATTATTTTCGTTCAATCGATGACAGGTTACTTGAAAAGTTTTTTCAATTTGTGCTTCATGTTCATCTTGATATGACTCATCTATCACAAGTTTTCCAGTTATCGAAGACGTAGAAGAAGAACATTCATCATCATTAACATCATTAGTTTCTTGTTCATCATTAACATCATTAGTTTCTTGTTCATCATTAACATCATTAGTTTCTTGTTCATCATTAACATCATTAGTTTCTTGTTCATCATTAACACGTGCACGAAAAAAATACGTTCTGCCATTTTCAACACGATTTGATTTTGATTTATCGCAACGAATATTTTGATTCTTCATACTATTCTTGACAAAAAAACAAATTTATCTAAAATGTCGAACAATATCATACAACAATAAAGTTTAACATTAGGCAGCATTGTACTCGGCTAACATTAATATAATAGACAGCGAAGCACAAGTGCTATTCTTCGAGAAATGGGGAAAACATATAATCCCGACCCATGAACCAATCACGAATATTAGCTTTTCCACCATAATAATCATAGATGACGCAATCCATCAAAATTAAATATCATACTGTTCATTCTCCCTGACCATTCTCTTTCTTACAGCTTCCAACCACAATATTCACGTTCCCTGCAAAGAACGAAACAATATTCTCTAATTTTACTGTATGTATTGCATGAAAACTGACAATATCTATAGATGTGACATAAA